AACTTGGTGAGCACATCCAGGGCAACATCGGTTATCTGAAATACTTCAATTGGTATACCATCTATTTCTGGGGCCTTATTTTTTGCTATTTCCTTCAAAGCAGCTTGAACTTCTTCCTTCATCACCATAGGCTCTTGCTCATATGTTATTTCTTTAAATAACAAGGAATCCAGCCCAGATAAGAGACGAAGAGGCATTTTTCAAAGGTACCCAGGATTCCCGGCATGCTCCTGGGCAGAAGGGAGACTTGAGGGCAGGCACAAGGAATCCAGCCCAGATAATAGACGAAGAGGCGTTTTTCAAAGGTACCCAGGATTTCCGGCGTGCTCCTGGGTGGAAGGGAGAAAATAAGAAAGTGCTCCTATACTCAGCAAAAGATTGGTGATTTGAGTCTATTCAGAAGAAGCTTAGAAGAAAAGCCACGCTATTTATTTCTGGAAGATCATAACAGTGATAATTCCTATCACATAGTTTTACTCTAACATACAGGAAGTCACCATGACTTGAAATCAACTCAATAGCAACTCGCTTTTTATGTTCTTTTTACGAGATACTTAGTGTCTTTTCATGGATTTGTCCCTAATACAGAATTAATAAATAATCTTCAGAGAAATTAAAATCTTTCATCCACTTTTAAATTGGTTTATTTAACTTTTTCTTATTGGCTTGTAACAGCTTTTTTAGTATTATGGATACATATTTCTTATCAAATATGTTGATTTGAAAATCTTTTCTCCTATTGTATACATTTTCTGTTGCAGCCTGAAAGTTTTAAATATTTATAAAGTTCATTTTTTCGTGTGTGTGCATTTGTGTGTGTGCATGTATGTGTTTGCTGGCAATTCTAAGAAGGTCATAAGGATTTACCCTTATATTTTCTTCAGAGTTTTAGAATATTGTTGTTGTTGTTATATGCCATAAAGTAAGAACTGACCCACAGCTGACTCTGTACAGTGAGATTGCAGAGGCAATAAATTGTAAGAAATGTGATTGCCCATCTTTCCCCTGCAGAGCAGCTGGTTAATTTGAAAACAAACATATATCTCTATATCTATCTATATCTATATCTGTATCTGTATCTGTATCTGTATCTGTACCTGTATCTGTACCTGTACCTGTATCTGTATCTATCTTGATCTATATCTATCTATCTATCTATCTATCTATCTATCTATCTATCTATCTATCTATCTCTGTCTCTATCTCTATCTCTATCTATATATATCTATCTCTATATTTATATATTGTTAGGTGCTGTCAAGTTGAATATAATTTATAGCAGTCCTATGAACAATGGATCTGACCCTTACCCTAAATTGTACCACACTCATCATCTCTGACACACTTGAATACATTGTTACAGTAATTTTGTCAATTAATTGTGTTGAGGGTCTTCCTGTCATTTCCTGACCCTCCACCTTTCCCAACTTGATAAACTTCTCCAACATTTGGATTCTCATAACAACACGGCCAAGGTATGTGAGATGAAGTTTCACCATCATTGCTTTCAAGGAGTCCCCTCAAGACATATTGTTTTGTTGTGTTGGCACTTCATGGGCTATTATTCTCCAACAGCACAACTCGTTTGAATTTGGTTTACTAGTATTGTTGAGGATTACTACTATACAAATCATGTAACTGAAGATAAATGAACATGCTATTTTGTAACAACTTACAATGAAAGAAGAATATATTCAATAATGTTTTCTCTTACCTCAATATAATCTGTATCACAATGGGCAGAATCGCCAATTTCAAAGCCAGTGAAATTGAGAACAACTACTTGGCCTTGGGGCTGATGGATGCTCCATGTACAGATCCTTTCTCCAGGATATGGGTTAGGATAGAAAGGAGAGCGAATGACTCCTTCTCCAGTTAATTCACCACCACAGGCTGTAAGCAGAAAAGTCATTTGAATATTTTTCCATAGATAAATTGTTCTTTCAACTTTTTTTGCCCATGCTAAGTTGTCTATGGAACTGTAATCCCACAGAATCATAGTTATCAACTCTAATGTTATCAGAGACAATATGATAATTTTATGAGAAATTTTTTCTTGCCATTTGAAGACATAAATGACAATATTATTTTAAGAAATTAAAATGTTACAATCAGGCATATCAGATATTTAAAAAGTAAGTCACACATTTCCTTACCTACTTGATAAACAGCTCTGAAACCAGCTTTTTCAATAGAAGCATCTATTTTAAACCTGACCCAGATTCTGTTAGTAACAGAGTTAATGTGAGAGATGGTTGAATTGCCACAGAATTTTCCAAGTATAATGTCATCATCTAGAACCTAAATAGAAAAATAAAACAGAACCATAACTTCAACCAATAAAATTACCTTAACAATGACAGAATTATTTGGAAATGAGAAATTGACAGAATGAAGACAAGGAATACTCTAAATCTTGGATTTATATATATTTTTTTACCAACAATACAGTAATAATAAAGATTGATGAAAAATTCTTAAGGAAACAATAAAAAAATATATTATTTTAATATTTTTCCAATATCAAAAAGGTAATGAATTTACAAGCTTGGACTACTGGCAAAGGGAATGAAAATAACACTTATCAAAATACACAAATTTCAGGCAAATTTGTGGTCATAAAAATTCGTAACTGAAACGGATTTCATTATTGGAAAAAAGGAAGGGAAGTAAGGAAAGGAAAAGCAAAGATAAAAAAAAGAACTTAAGTAGTCAATTTTAAAAGTGAGACGAAGTAAAAAGAATAAAGAGAAAGTAAAATTCATAAATATACTAAAGAAACCTTTTTTGAGGGAAGGTGAAGAATCAGGATATGCAATAAACATATATATCTGGTAAATTTAATTAATAAAAGAAAACAAGCACAAATTTTCAGTTTACAAAGTGGTATAAATGTCAAAGTACTTTTTAATGGTACAGTTCTAAATACAACTTAATGCTATATAGACCAGACCAGGAAAACAATGAAAAATATTATTAAAAAAACTAGTCTTCCTCCTCCCCTTCAAAATAATCTTTTTAGAAACATTTCTAAGATGTATGTTATATAGTTTGTTTGACAGTACTCTTGCTTATGGAACACTACCATTAGTGGTGTTCAGACCCTGATCTCAAATCCCAAGACAGAAACCATAAAATATAGACTGATCATACTTACTAATGAAGATACAGAAACCTTAAACCTAGTTCTAGGATAAAAATTTGTAGTGCATTTTTATGTATATGTATCAAATAAAGTCTGGAAATAACAAGAATTCAAGGATTTATTGAAATGATATATTAAGCTCATCAATAAATCCAGTAAGGAAACTATAAGACCAAAAAACTGCTTTCTAGAATTTCCGAATTAACTGAAAACAAACTTAGGAGAAGAGTAAAATTTACTTCTTATAATAAAGATTATTCTAATAAAGGTAATAAATTTACAAGTTTAGACTACTGTTGAAGGGAATGAAAATGGCACATATCAAAATAGGCAAATTTAATCCAAGTCTTTTAAACCATAGATAATATATTATATAGGTGCCAGGAGCATTATCTATAGAGTCATATTGATGGAGATTCAAACCCCAATTATCAACCCATTAATAACTTCAAACAAGTTATTTAAATGCCATCTAGCTCACAGAGTTATTGAAGCATTTAGATAAAACAGTCCTATGAATCCCTTAGCAAAACATCGCGTCATAGAAAGTACTGGTTAAAGGATAACTTGCTAGCTCTGGTTGTATAGTGCATTGCATGTTGTGCTGCTAACAGAAAGGCGAGTAGTTGGAATCTACCAATCCCTCAGGAGAAAGGTGTAAAATCTCTTTGTGTAAATATTAATCTCTGGTAGGTATAAATTGGAACAGACTTGACAGATTGGGTTTGATTTGGTTTTATTTTATTGCTATTATGTGCCTGAGCCAAGCCATGGTCTTTTCAATCACTTCCTATATATCTGAAATCTGGACAATGAATAAAGATGACTGAAGAGTTGACGTCTTTGAATTATTTAGTTGGAGAAGAGTTTAACCAAAAGAGCAAACAAATCTGCCTTGGAGAAAGAGCAAGCAGGGCTCTCCTTAGAGGCAAGGCTGGTGAAACTTTGTCTCACATATTCTGGGAATCTTGTCAGGAGCTTCCAGTCCTTGGAAAAGGACATCCTTTGGGAAAGGTGGAGGACTGGAGAAAAAGAGGGAGAGCCTCAATAAGACAGCTTGGAACAGTGACGGCACCAGTGGGCACCAGTATATCAGAGGTGGTGAGGATGCTATAAGCTAGGGTTAGGTTCACAGGGCTGTTATGTGTCATGGTTGATCTGTGGTTCACAGGGTTGCCATGAGTCATGGTTGACTCAAAGACACCTAACAACAACGATATAAACATAATTCAGAAATTATTCCAGTGTCATTTATATGATAGGGTGAAAAAATTACTGAGGACTATTCAAAAGTAGCTACAGCCATTCATTACTCAACAGAGATTAGTCAAATATTTAATATTTATTCAGAAGGAATTGGAGAGATTCATTGGTGAGGTGATATCAAATAGATCTTAGCAAAAATCAAAGAACACCAAAAATATTTTATTGATTACATGAAGCCACCAAAGATCAACAGACTTGCAGATAGGTGATGGATATGCATAATATTCCTATTACAAAAAATTATTCTGAAAGAGACAATCCACTAACTCAACTAGCACTTTCAAAGCATCAATAAATACCAGAAACTGTGCTAGATACCAGTAATAACACTTGTTATGTACCATAGATTTGGAACCAACCCATAGCTGACCTTCTAATTTCACAGGAGAAGATTGCCCATCTTTCTCCCACGAAGTGGCTGGTGGCTTCAAACTGCGTGCACAACTTCTTGCCAACTCACTATTTAGTACTGACTAGGTACTAAAAACAAGTATTTCTACTTTTATTAATCATTATCAACATTAAACATATAGGATGTTATATTATTACTTGACAGGAGTAGGCATTTAGGAAATTGATGAGAACATTTTTTTAGAACATTTTTAAAAGTTACTATTATCTCCCTTGTTATCAGAAAGATGCAAATAAAAACAACTATGATGTATCATCTCACCCAGCAACAATAGCAAAGTTCAACAGGGCAGCAAACAAAAAATGCTGGCAAGATTGTGGAGAGATTGACCTGTCACTTGCTGCTGGTGGGAATGTAAAATGGTACAGCTACTATGGAATGTGGTCTGGCACTTTCTCAAAAAGTTGAAAATAGATATTCTATTTGGCCCAGCAATTCCACTGCTAGAAATATGCCCTAAAGAAACCAGAGTAACAACTCAAACAGACGTATATGCACCCATGTTTATTGTTGTGATACTCACAATAGGAGAGAGATGGAAGCAACCCCAGTGCCCATTGATAAACAAATGAATAAAAAAAAAATGTGGTACACTCACACAACGGAATATTATGCAGTATTGAAAAACAATGGACGTGTAAAACACTGCACAACATGGATGAGCCTGGAAGACATTATGCTGAGTGGAATTTCTTAAAAGGATAAATAATGCATAACAACACTGTTGTGAAGCAGGACTGACATGGGGGGTTGGGAAGAGACTAGGAAAAGAGTAGAAAGATAAAGAATAATGCATTGGAATAGGTATGAGGAAGAAATGTCTGAAAGGAATATATGGTTACATATTGTTGTTGTTGCTGATTGTTGTCAAGTGTGACTCATTGTGACTCTATGAACAAAAGACCTAATGCTTTTCCATAACTATCGTCATTTTCCAGAGGTATGCAGTTTAGGAAGTGGATGCCACTCCTGCTTCCAAACCTGTTTTACAACTGGGAGCTCCACCAAACACTGTCCACATTGGGAAACCATTCTGGTATTTGATAACCCAGTGGTACAAGGTTCAGCATCACAGCAAATCCAGGTTACTTCATACTGCACATTGACAGAGAGTGATGTACAAAGTGGAAGAGTGTTACTCCAGATAGAACAGCACTAGTTTCATTTAGCAGTGGTTAAGTGTCGTCAAGTCAACTACAACTGAGAATAAGCTTTACACAAAAGCCCTGTACTCTGTTCTATAATGAACATCATTTCTGTACATCTATAGAGTTTAGAGAGTTTGCAGAGTTTAGAGATCTGTAGAGTTTCCAGAGGCATCTAGTTTAGAAAGTGGATGCCACCCCTGCTTCCCAGCATAAATCAATCTGGAAGCTCATCTAAACACTGTACATAATGAGTAGCCATTATGGTATTTGACAGGACTATGGAACAGTGTGCAGTATCACACTAACACCAAGTTGTTCAGTTCAGCAAATAGACAAAAGATTGTTGTATCATTTAAGGAATATTCATTTGAAAATTATTATAAAACATATAAAAATATACAAACTAATAAATATATTAATAAAAAAATAAAATCCTGCAGGATTTTAAAGCCACACCTTGGAGCAGACTTCCATGCTAGGCAAAGGCTCAAGGACATCCAATCTTTGGGGGAATAGAGCAGTAACACACATCAAACAGGACCCCAAAAACTTCTCTTACGTGACCGACAGGACTGCCATCAAGATGCTAGCTAGCAGCCAAACTCCTAGAGTGGACCCATTCCCTCCTCCTGTGGGATTTTAAAGCCATTCTTTTGAACAGACCTCTATCCTAGGCAAGAATCACTTACTAAAGTAAAACTAATTGTACCACATTTACAAATCATTTGTTGAAAAAGAATACTTCTAAGTTTAAGGAGTCATCATGAAAATGTCATGTTTCAAAGATACACTTATCTATGAAAATAATTTGAAACAAGAGGTGCATTGCAAAGTGGACTGGGAGAAGAGGAATGAAGGGGGAGGGACGAAAATATACAACAATGAATGAATGGATGAAAATCCAATCTGTAAACTTTGATTTAAAACACAATCTTAAAAAAATATTCAAAGGATAGGATGGGTAAAGTTACTATTATTACAATGATAATGAGATACTCTTGGCAATTAATTAGTGATGAAGGGCAAAGAACAGCCAAAATATAAGGTGGTTATATGCAACAATAATTCCCCTATGTGCTTCCTACATGCCATTCCTACAGAGGTGAAAGTTCTGTTAACAAATCTTAAATCTATCTTACATCTTAATCGCAAAGTATTATTGAAAAATTACGGCTGCATTTTCCAGGATCACAAACAGAACATAAATTAAAGGAAATACCTACTCTCTACCACCTTAGCACGCAACCCCTACTCAGAAATCAGTCAAAGTTTATTCATCATTTTAGAAAACAAGTTGCTGACCTCTCAGGCATGTTAAACCCCATCTGGA